GGAGCAGCCCCCTCTGGTCCCCAAGTAGCTCCACCTTCATTCCTGTGGATGATTGAAACAAGTGATTGATACTTATTTAAAGGAAATATTGGCATTTACTTTGTGTAATTCATCAATCTCCTGAAATAGATATGCACTGTAGGTTCATGGGCTGAGTCTTAAAGATAGTCTTTTTCTTCTTGTGACATGGATTACTCATCCACTACATCTCTTGTAATCCAATCTTTCTAGAACATCTTAATAGTTTTAGTTCTGTTCTTGTGTTCTTTCTGCCTTTTACATGATCTATTGTATTTTTCTTTCCTTTTTTTAATTGTAGTTTTTTTAAATCAGATGTTATTCTATCTAAATTAACTTTGATTTATCTGTATGTTAAAGATGCAGATCTGATACCCAGTTGCTTGTGCATTCTGTGGCGAGGAAAATTGAGTGAAATGAAAACATAAACTCTCTATTTGCAATGGATTGGAATGCTAAGTGGGACTGGGAAAACCTAATCATGTTCAATTCAAAAACTGTTGAAAGTCCTAAGAAGCAACCAACAGACTAGGAAATTGGGGAGGGAGAAATTGATACAGTGTCGTTTAATCTATCTGGGGGTGGAGCTGTTGGTTCCAGCTCTAATTTGGCACATTGTTCTTCAGCAAGGAGCTCAGTATCAGCTTCCATGGATTCTTCATCAAAGGAGATATCAAAAATGTCAAAGATTGCTGTCGAGGCATTTCATGATTTTCCTGAAGATTTTGGCAAGAAGAATGAATTGGCCAGAACTGAGTTAACTGGAACTTCTCTACCACTGGAGCCTTCAGTTGGGTCTGGTGAACTGTTGATTGGTCTGAAGCTTGGTAAGCGGACATATTTTGAAAATGATTATGTCGGGGACAATGCTAAGACTTCATCTTTGTCTGTGATTCCTGTATCATCTGCTGCCTCCACAGCAAAGAAAATAAAATCATCTAGTCAGACGCATCGCCCACGTTGCCAAGTTGAAGGTTGCAACCTTGACCTCTCATCAGCTAAAGAGTATCATCGGAAACATAGAGTTTGTGAGAGTCATTCGAAATGCGCAAAGGTGGTTGTATGTGGTCTAGAACGTCGGTTTTGCAAACAATGTAGCAGGTAAACTTTGTATGACAATGTACAAAAACCTGAACCCAGGACTGCTTTTTTTTTGAATTGATTGCGTTGTTGATGCTAACCTAGATAAGAAACTATGCTATGAACCATTGGAACTTCCAAGAAGTTTTTTTATTGAATTTGATACTTTTCTCTCTTTTTTTGATGAATAAATGTGATGCTCTTCTCAAAGTAATATTTATATTCTTTTGTTTAATGTTTTCTCTAATTTATATAATGTGGAATTTGGATAATCTGCATTTTGTTGAAGGCTCGTGAGGTTGCCTACTGATTTTCAGGAACTATTAGGGGATGAGTTTGGAATAGATGCCATGAGCCTTGGATCTATTGCCTGTGATTCTGTTGGACGAGCTGATAGAGTAATTAAGGTATGCTAGATCTTTTTCACTTTGATTTTGATTTTTAGTTTTAGTTTTGTTTTCCTAGGAGATTTCTCTAAGCTTTCTTGACAAATATCGATACAAATGCTATGATTTTAGTGACTAAAAGATTAAAAAAAACAATAGCTTTGTGTCCCTGTGAAACACCGCATCCTTTAAAGCATGCATCAATTTAGCGAAATGAAAATTCATCAAAAGTTTGATATGGATGTTCTAGATAATACAAGACCAAATCAGTGAGGCTTCACTTTTGTCTCTGTATACCAGTCATTTAGCTTCGGGTTTGGTAGCTGAAGTCTTGCAATATATTTGCATGATAGGCTCTCTTACTTACAAGTTAGTTTCATGTTATCTCGTGAAAATCTCTAATTTGGTTGTCTAGTCTAAAGGATATGAATTTATTTAATTTAATTGAGCATCTAGCCGTTGTTGTTATTGTTTATGTATGTGTCTTTTGTGCTAATTTAGTGTTTTTACTTATGAAATTAGTTTATATGATTTTCATGATACACATCTAGCCGAATGGGGATTTACATGACAATGTGGAGACCCAACACCCACAGCCACTTGATGTCGATATAGAGGCACAGAGAGAAGCAGCACCCTAATCTAGTGTCGGTAAGATGCTAAATTTTACTATTAAAATGAAATTCTATATTTTAATATAATGTGTACCTGTCACATTTACATATAGTGAGATTTGTTATTATACTTATATAATAATTATTGAGTAATATATCATGTATCCATAATCATGTCAAATCATCATTGTAAATTTTTTTTCCCTACTCAGCACAGCAAGTTAATATATATATATATATATATATATATAATTTAGGTAAAAATAAAGTGGGTGGTGAATTCTCATCATTCATTGCGTTCATGCCAATAGTTACAAAATTATAATGGATGATTCATGTTTTTGTACTTCAAAATCTTCATTGACAGTGTGCCAGTGTAATTTTGTTTTAACTTTCCTGTCCCCTTAGTAGCCCAATGTTATTATAACTTTAATATTGGGATCTATCATGATTTTCTCGACTTTTTATGCTATTATAATTTTATGTCTATAGTTGTTAACTGGGTATTTTAGTCGCAAGGAAGGAGCCTCGCCACCGTCACTGCCACCGCCGATCGTCGCAGCAGACCGTCGCCTCGCCCAGCCCCGGTCGTCTGCCCAGCCCCGCCGACGTCGCAGCACCACCGTCATCTGCCCAGCCTCCCCTCCTCCTCCAACCGGTTTTTATGGCCCCCTCCCCTCCTCCTTCTCCCTCTCCCTTCTCTTCTTCTCCCTTCTTCTTCTCCTTCTAATATAGTTTGAAATTTCACATATTGTAAATATAAAATAAAATAAATTTCACAATATCATATTAAGGCCAAGTTTGGCATCCTCAAAAAAATTTAAAAAGTCAAAAAGTCACTATCTTATAAAAGATGTGTAGAAAAATAGAGAGGTGATGTGATGAAAAAAAGATAAAAAAATAAAAAGATGAATTATTTTAGAGTTGACAAACTTAACCTTTTTTTAATGTTGCAAAACTCATATAACTCTTTAGCTTGCCTTTTGTTTCTTCAAAAACTGGACCACAGAGCCAGCCTGTTGGGAATTGGACATATCCATCCTAGAACTTATTATCTGTTTGATTTTGAAAATAATTTTTTTTTTTTTTTGTGTGTTTTTGTCTTTAGTATTTTTTAATTAATTTTTTAAAAAACATTTTAGAATTACTTAATATAAGTGTACTTAAAAAATAAAATATTTCCGAATAATTTTTTTAGATTTTTTTCACAAATATATATATATTTTTAAGTACATCTAAATTATGTGCATCTAAAAAGTAAAAAAGAATTAAAAATTAAATTTTTTTTACTCAAACCAAAAAAAACACAAAAACTCAAAAACGTTGCTTTCATTTATCAAAATGGAAAAGGAAAAAAACACGCACACACACACAATGAAGCTATCTTGCCCTCATTTGATTGGGATTATCAATGAATGGATATGAAGTATTAAGATGGGGAAAAAATAAAAATTGAAAAACTTGTTAATTGAATTACAACAAATACTTACAAGCAAAGGTATTTGTAACAAACAACTAGGTAAAAATTTAAATTAATTAAATTTGAATAATTTTGCCGATAAATATATATAGAGTTAATATTTAAAAGTCCTATTTACAAATATTATGATAGCTTAAGCCTTTTTAATATTTTTTGAACTAATAAGTCACATTTAGTAAAATTGAGAATATTATCAAGTTTTTTTCAATTTTTAAAATTAAGAACATTATCAATTTTGTATAGTAATGTTCCAGATAATTATTTTAGTAATTGACAAAAAAAACAGAGCATGAGATTAAACATTTTTATCTTTCTACTTATTGGTTTGAGTCAACTATCTAATAAAATTAAGAATATTAACAGTTTTTTTCAGTTTTAAAACTATGAACATTATCAGTTTTTTCATTTTTAATTTTTTTTTCTTTTCAATTTTGTACATTAATGTTCCATCATCATGCTCCTTTATGGACATAAAATTTTCAGTTTTGCACAAAAAAGTAATTCAGTTTTTTCAATTTTTACAAAAAAATTGCACATAATTTTTTTTTTAGTTTTTCAATTTGAAAGTTTTGAAAATCAAAATAAATGTCAAATCATCATGTTCCTATATAGATAATCATAAATGATGAACAATTATTGTTTGAAGGGCAATTCTGACTATTAAAAAATTTGATTAGACTTGAAGGTCCAAAAAATCTTAGTTAGGACTTAATGAAATATAAGTTCTTAAATGAGGACTTGTGTGTAACTGTCACATACATAACATCAAAAAAAAAAAATTCCTGCAAGGATTCGATAAGCATTTGAAGCAAAGAACTTCTACTGCATATTGCTTTGTTGAATGCATAGAGATAGATCGACATGCCTTCACTGTTCTGCTCATCATGAAGAGCAATTTATACTGGATTATTTATGTAATTTGCCAAAATAAAAACTACTTTGACTTAGGTAATTTTTATAACTCAAAAAAGTACTCAAAATTTAAAATTTGAGTATTGCTTCATTTGGAAAATATGGTCCTACCACGTTAAATTTGAATTTAGACCCTACAATAGTCTACTTCCCACAAACACTTTCTGTTTGTGTGTGTGAGGGACTCACATGTGGGACTTACTCTCTTATATTTTGTTTATTTATATTTATTAGTGATATTTTTAAAATTTTATCGCTAAAAGTTTTATTTTTGACTTTTCGAGACGATCTTTTAACTACTATCCTCATGACGATAGAAATTAGTCCCTAAATATTTTTTGCAACAAAATTTTCATTTTTAAAAATCAAAACATTTGATCTCTAAAACTCTTATATGCTATAGTGTTTGATAGAGTGCATGTAAGATATCTTTTAAATAACTTAAAAATTTATATATATATATATATATATATATATATATGTATACATAATGTCATGTACACAACAAAGTATATTGGTAGGTAGGTAATTGATAATAGTATTTTGGAAGAGGGTTAGGGGGTTTAAAAGGGAGGGAATATATGAATTTGAGTAGTCAAGATTTGTTCGAAATTGTCAGTAGGCTTCTGTACTGGATGCGTATGAACCCCTTCATAAGTTGTCACCACCACCCCTTCATCTTTATAGTGCCGTTGTACTTGTTTCTTCACATTGCACCCTTGTTGAGTACACCTATAGTAGCTTCTGCACACATATACCAAACACACACAAAACAAAAAACCAAAAAAACACACAAACAATGCACAATTTTAATGTTCAAGTAATTCTTCAGATGGAGAAAGAATTTTGTATAGAGTAATGCTATAAATGAACAAACAAATTTACCCAGAATTGAATGAACAAACAAATATTGATAAATTTTTGAAAGATGTTTTCCCTAACATATTGTTACTCTCAATGACTCACATGTAGAGCTCACGCATGAGCACTTGTGAAAGTAATTAGTATACCACTCTGTTGTGTTTATAAATTCAAATTCTGAGAATTTTTTTAATTATTTTTTCCTCTATATATATAACATTTGTGTTTTCCGAATCATGCATGCAACACAAAAATGTAAGACTTGTCTTTTCATTCGCTAACAAAGGTAAAATAATTGTAGGTATTTTTATTTAAAAAATATACAATCATTTAATAAAGGAAAATTTACCTATAAGTCCTAGTTTCTGAAAAGTTGAACTATTTAGTCCTAAAAGTTTTCTTATGCTCTATTTAGTCCCATTTGCACATCAATCTAATGTTTGAAACATTAATCTGATGTTCGAAATCTAATGTTAATCTAATGTTCGAAACATTAATCTGATGTTTGAAACATTGTAATGGGACCTTTCAGTCTATAAGAAAACTTTTAGGACTAAACAATATATAAGTTATTAATTTGGGATTTATTGATGCATCCCCCTTTAATAAAATCTTATAATTACTGCTGGGCCAAGGGGTCCTATCCCCATATCCTCCCACCAATGTCTTAATGCATTTTAAAAAAAAAGAAAAAAAATTTATGTGAAATTGAATGGTAACTCGCAGTAGCAATGTCGTTTGGAAGCAATAGCAAATTTAGCCCAAGTGTCTAGGAGAAAAAAGAGGCAGCTGCTTGTAAACTTTGATCTACTGTTGGTCTCTATTCTCTAACAAAATGACCATGTGGTGATTATATGTGCCATTAGTGTAATTTTTGGTCGCTGAAAGTGTAGTTCTTGTAATAAATAAATTTGAGTGATTAAAGGAGACACTTTAAATTCCAAGTTGAGAGGGGGTTAAAGTGTTTAAGAAGAACCAAGTGTTCTTGTGAGAATCCAAGTGAACTGTTATTCTAATTCTAAGTTAAAAAAAGGATAACAAAAATGGCAGGTCAAAGATCAATATCCTGATATGGACATATATTGATTTAATGGATTCAAAATTTGGTGACACATGATCAAATGATGATACTGGCATACTCACCGTGCACGAAGGTAGTGAGTCTCATGTATATTTACCCACTAACTATTTTTGTATTTAATGAAAGAAAAATCTAAAAAGAAATGTAAAGTAAAGAAAAATATGAAACATAGAGAGATTATGGAACACAAAACATTTAGGTTGTGTGCGGTTAAGGAGTTTGGAGAGAGATTTGAAAAGGAAAAAGAAAAATGTATAAAACTAAGTTAAATATAAATATATTTTATTCACATTTTATTTCTCTTTCCAAATTCATCCCAAATCTTCTAATCAAATACAACCTTAGAGAATTGTTTTCAAAACAAATATTCTTTTGGATCATCAAAGATTTTCTTAATATTTTCCATCTTGTAGTAAATTATGCTCGGAAAAAAACAAGCTTTTACAATTATTTAAAGTATTCCCATCATTGGGTACAAATATAAAAATAAATAAAAAAGTGAGACTACATAATAACTCCATCTTTCCCACTTTCACTCTACATTGTTGTTTAAAGTGATGTTTTGCACACTTGATGCATTTGCAGGGATCGAATTAAAAGAGAAATTTATAAACATTAGGTATCCACTAACTCACTTATTTACAACAAATATATATAACACTACTTTTTTTTATTAGTGTATTCTTCAATAGAAATAGGGAACCCTCCATCTGCTTAAGATCCAGGCATGCATGCATGCTAGCAAGCAAAAATATCACATCCCCATCCTAATCTGCATGGAATAATTGTGACGATCCCTTTTATTTATCTTCACAGTTAAGGCTTATGCATGTAATTAAGTGGGAGTTTTCTTTTCAACAAAGTCAGAATGATTGTATCAATAATTACGTTTTGTTTGGCGAAGGTTAAAAAAGATCAGTTAATTGAACCTAATGAGCATCGTGATCACATATTTTCAAAAAAAAAAAAAAAAAAAAAATGAGATAAAAAATGATCAGTTAATCGCAGAATCTAAGAGTAATTTGTTGTTGTAATGATGATTGAATATTTCAACTTTAAAAAACAGCATGTGGCACTTTCGTCTATCTCAGTTTTTTGTAACTTCCAATTTTAAGACGGGACAGAGAATGAAACAGATGATCTGTCCTCTAGAAATACAACGGTGGATTGATTCGATTCAACTAACCTTGGAAATTTATTGTGCTTCACTGATTTTTGACCATATTTCCTCCAACGATACCCATCGTCAAGTATATCAACTTGGGACCTTGTTTCAAAGGCAAATCTGGGCTTCCTAATCTTCTTCTCAACTTTCTTCGTACCCGATGATTTCGCTTCATTTCCAGAGAGCACAAAACTTGCAGTAGTAGAATTAGAAACATTTTTTACCTCTGATGTGAAGAACCCAAATGGATTTTTGTTACAAAGATCGTTAGGAAAACAAGAACTTGACATGTTTGATGAGAAAGAAGAAGACGATTGCACAATCGGTGCACTAGGGAAGAACATTGGGTGATTATTCTCCATTGAAAAAGCTTATGAAAAGAAGAAGAAGAAAATATTCCTTTTGAATGTAGGGAGGTCCAAATGAGAAAGTGATGGAGGCGGCTCGATGAGGCCTAACCACAATTTTTTGTAAGTATACGTCCATGATGTGTGAAAGAAATAGAATAAATCAAACATGTGATTGGGAGAAAGGTCTTCGTGACCATAAAAACAAAAACAGTATTATTATTTAAGTCAAAAAATAAAATTTATTTTCTAGACTTACTGATATGTTAAGAAAATTATAAGTTTATAATTATAGAATATTTAATTATTAATTAATTATCTTCTTAATATATCATTAAATTTTAAAAGTAGGTCTAAAAAATGAATTTATATATCATTTTTCAAAAAAAAAAAAATGTTATACAGAGCAATAAAATTTCTACTTTTCTTACTTATAAATATGATAGAGACATGTGACATTTAATAATTAAATTTTGATATTTTGAAAATAATACATTTGAACAAGAAAATTTTCTTAAATTTGTTCATTTGTGTGGTAGGGGAAAAATGTACTTAAACCTTGGTTTGGTAACACCATTAATAAGTTACTTTTTGACTTAGTTAAGTCACATTGTTATTTTTATTTTATTTATGTTTTTTTTTTTTGTAATAAGTAAAAAAATTAATTTAGAGTGTCTTCAACGCTTCCTCATTTGTTTTATAAAATTTGATAAAAAAGTACAGTTTTGGTATTCAAACGTTAACATCAAATCAATATCAATTTTAAAATTTTTTAAAATTTTTATCAAATTGAAAATGTCTAGTATCTTTTATCAAATTACTGTAGATAACAATTGGAACTATACACCGGACGACTAGCCGGTTATCTTTTTGGACAACCTTTTTCTTGCTTAGACTTCTCTTAAATTTATACTAACCAACCGACTGATTAAATGTCCTCTTGATCATCTTTTCGATCAACTGATGATTTTATAAAAAATAAAAAAATATTATTAAAATACTCAATATCAGATGAAATTTTTACTTAAATTTAATAAAAATAAATAAATAAATATCAGAGATGCTCCTATAAATCATACCTAAAATAATTCAAAGTTGAGCCCATTTATAGGCCCTGTTTGGTACAGCTTAATTTCAGCTTATTTCAGCTTTCAGCTTAATTTAAGCTATTTTGATGTGTTTGGTTTAGTTTATAGCTTATAGCTTATAGCTTATAGCTTATAGCTTTGTGGAAGTCAGAAAACAGCTTATTCTTTGAGTGGGGCAGGATATGCTTTAAGAATAAGCTGGAAATCAGCTTAAGCTGAAAGTTATAAGCTATAAGCTGTTTAGGCATAAGCTATAAGCACTTTCCCACAGCTCTACCAAACGGGGCTATAGTGGGCTATGATAGGTACAACTGATAGGATGAAAAGGCTGAACTAAACACGAAGGGCACAAAGTGGCGGTCGGCCGTGTGCAGAGGTCAGTAAGTACTGGAAGAACGACTGACCAATTTTCAGCCAAATATGAAAAATGTTTGAGGCATGTAATTTTTCGATCGTGTTACGTAGCTTGAAAATGGAAAATTTTAATGGCTTAATTTTTTTTTTTTTTTTGTAGAAGAAGAACGAAGACCAGGAAGAAGAAGGAAGAAAGGAGGAGGAGGAGGAGCAGGAAGAGGAGGAAGGGAGGAGGAGGAGAATGAGGAGCAGGAAGAGGAGGAGGACTGGAAGGGGCATAATATTCGGGGGAGGCGGAGGCGGGGCGACGGCGGTCGGAGGCTGCGGCGGGGTTGGGCTGGGCGACGATCGGCGGATTGGCGGCTGGGAGGGGCGACGATCGGCGGCTGGCCGGGGCGACGATCGTCTTCTCTCTCTCTCTCTTCCCCTCTGCTTCTCTCTTTCTCTCCCTCTCCCTCTCTGCTTCTCTCTTTCTCTCCCTCTCCCTCTGCTTCTCTCTTCCCCTCTGCTTCGAAATAGAGCCGTTCGGGACAAATGTTTCGAGCTACGAAACATTTTTCTAAATAAAATTGTTTTGTTCGGCGAAAAATAAAAAATTTTAACAGAAAAAAAATTTGTGTATTCAAAAATTTTGCTTGTGGGCTTGTTTAGTTTGTTTTTGGGAGAGTTATTTTTGAAAAAAATTTGGAAGAGTTGTTTTAGAAATTTTTTTGGTTTGTTTGGTTGTATATTTTGAAAGTAGTTTTGGAGTTTGAGAGTTTGGGATGATTTGATATTTTGTTGTAATTGAGTAGATGTGTGTGAGAAA